CCTCCAGTGTTTCAGATAATTTTGTTCGCCATTTCACCTAAATTTCCTGAAAATCGCAAGGAAAAATATCCATAGCTTCCTTCAAAAACAAACATTTTATCGAAGAAAATTTGGCAACTCTCGAATGTTCATACGGCGTTCTTCCTTAGCACGGCAGGACACCTCGTCACCCTCCGGCCAAAGTATCACAAGCGCCATGCGACGTTTCAAAATTTTCGCCGCCGTTTTATTTTTTAACAAAGAGATGTTCGCTTAAATCTGTTCGAAAATTTCACCGAGTACTATCGGCAAAAAATTCAGTGAAATTTTCAAACAGATTCAGTTGACAACTCCTCTGATGAAAAAATAACGGACATTTTTAAACGTCGCTTGGCGCTTGTGATACTTTGGCCGGAAGGTTACGACTTCTCGTTTTCAACTGCTTTCAAACCGGAGCTCAAGAAAATGGAGATGTTCCATATGTGAGGGATTTGCGATTTGACCATTAATTCTTATGTAAAAGTTCGCGAAAAACACGATGGTGCCACTGTTTTCTCTAAAATCATCTCCCAAGCTCAAAAAAAAGCTCTCAAAGTGAGGCCAAAATGGAGGGGATATCCCGACTTACCCTGAGAGTCCACCTCTACATCAAAACAAACTATCCATGCAAAGATAGGGAGCAAATACATCAGCAGGGATGCCTCGTTTTCAGTTGTGGAGTCCCCAAATAAAGTGGCAACCCTGTCAATGCATTTGCTCCCTATCTTTGCATGGAGAGTTTGTTTTGATGTAAAGGTGGACTCTCAGGGTAGGGTGGGATAGCCCCTCCATTTTGGCCTCACTTTGAGAGCTTTTTTTGAGCTTGGGAGATGATTTCAGAGAAAACCAGTGGCACCATCGTGTTTCTCGCGAACTTTTACATAAGAATCAATGGTCAAATCGCAAATTCCTCACACATGCAACATCTACATTTCCGACTCCCCCTCCCCCCGCCAGCTACATATTTAAGCGCTATTTATTCGTGATTTCAAAAGGATTAAAACCTTACGTTAAAGGGGGATCTTAGAGTGTCATGTATCTTCCTCTGAAAATGTACTTGATTTTACCCGCTTAAGCCCCCTGAGTTAACTTTATATTCTAATATTTTTGAGGGCATGAACGAATTCGGCGCTAAAAAAGTAAGGAGAGGGGGTGGCTTCGTGTGTATTGTTGAACAACCGACGTCGCCGAAATTTAAAGAGAACTATGATTTTTCGACTAAATTTTTTGGGAAACTTGTGGATTATTTTTTTCGGATTTAATTGGAGGAATGAATCCTCAATTTCATATAATGTGCACGAAAAAAAAAAATGATATTGCTGATTTAACAATTTTGTGGTCAAAAAAGTGTCCGACATGTTTCAATGCATATTCTATGATAAAAAAAATGTTAATTTAACCACCCCCGTTGATATATTAGCTTTCCATTTTTGTAAAATGTACATTTGAAACATGTTTGCATATTTTTAACAATTTAATTACTAAATCAGCAATATATTTTTTTCCGTGTATTTGAAAGTACCTCCATAATAACTTCAAAGCTAGTATATTTTATTCCGTGTATTTGAAAGTTCCCCCATAATAACTTCAAAACTGAGGCTGCGGCCCTCATGAGATGATACGTCTCCTTCCGTACTCTATTTCGCTCCCTGGAAGTCCTAGAACAGGCGATTTTCGAACAGGATTCGCCGGCAAATTGGCGGCGGCACGCGGCCGACAATGCAAAGGCTAAATGAGTCAAAAGCCACACCATTGTCGATTAGGGCGTAAAAATCCTGTTCCCGGGACCGTGCGTGACAGAAGGCGGGAGCAATACCGGGAACCGGGCAGTTCGGCTCTGGACTCCAGAGCCTGGAGCAGGAGGAATGCTCGGTGATGGGTGCAGGATGCTGTCCGGCCGGCGCACAGTGGAGCGATTCTTCAAAACTTTTAAATTAACGGCAAAACGAAACGATGGTCGTATCGATAGTTGGATTATATTTTGCATTTCCCTGATTTCTCTGTCACATTTTTGTGAAATTTCCTGACATTTGAGGATGTGCCAGATTCTTAAAAAGAAATGATTTGAAACAGTTTTCAGACAAGATTTGTTGTTCAAAACATCATACCCATTTTCCCCGACTTTTTAAAATTCCCTGACATTTCCCGATGTACCTGGTATTCCCTGATTGTGGCAACCCTGCCATCAGTTTCCTTGAAAATTCGTATTTTATTAGAGGAAAATTTGGGATCACCTAAAGGCACATACGGCGTTTTTCCTCAGCACGGCAGTATATAAGTTTTCTTTAACGAATTCCCATTTGGAGCATTCATTGAAATTTATATTATGACAAGATAAACATAAACATTTGGAGTTTCTGTACAAAATTTCATGCAATACCTTAGCTACCATGCTAAAGAAGAACGCCGTATGACTCTTCAGACATTGCCAAGTTTCCTCCGATAAAACCGAATTGACTGGGAAAAAAGTGCGGATATTATTTCCCATAATTTCCACACAATTTTGTAAGCAATTCAATCTACAATATCTGACAATTTCAAGTAAAATGTGCATGAATGTTCTCAAAAATACATATTTTATCGAGGGAAATTCGGCAACTCTCGAAGGTTCATACGGCGTTCTTCCTTAGCACGGCAGAATGATTCCACTGTGCGGTGCGGAGTCACGGAGGCGGTTTCCTCGGCTCCCGGTGATCTAATAACTGTCACACCCCAGACGCAGGTCCCGCGGTTGGCGCGGGGGTGCGGGGGTGCGGCGGGGGCGGGAGGGATGAAATGAGAAAGCGGCCGCGACCGGCAGTGGAAATGGGTTGGACCCCGACCCGGCTTCGGGACTTCTGGAGGCGAGCATGATCGGTGGCGCTGGATGACAGATCGTCGCTCCAGGAAAGACCTGAACGTGTTTAGAGATGAGCTCTGTTGTCCGTTTAAGTTTATGGGCTCTGGATCTTAAGAAAGAATGGAGTTATGTCTTTCTGCTACAGATCGAGGAGATGATGCAAGGTGTTCCGCCGTCGCTCCGACTGGACGGCCTGTCCTCTGGCCCTTGCGCTTCCAGGCTGCTCTCCTGGAGCCACGTTGCCTAATTTTGCTCGAATTTTTAGTGGATGTCAATTTAATTTTATTTTACCATTAGCGCAAAATGAGCTCCTGACCGAAAATATGGTACACGTCATGGTGTGGCACATGATAACATGGTACATACAAAGAGTACATAGAGTCGTAATGTAAGTGGGAGAGCTGGCGCCTGGTGTGGCACATGATAATATGGTACATACATAGAGTACATAGAGTCGTAATGTAAGTGGGAGAGCTGGCGCCATGTTCTGCACGACGAATTCCGAACCCGGTGTGCGGGGTCACTTTTTCGATACATATTCGATCCAAAATGGCGGTGTGGAATACGGCCAGGTCCCCGTGTATCGCAAACAATCGATTATGTATCGAAAAAGGGAACCGGCGCCGCACAGGAATCGCGGAATTCGGGACCTGGAAAATGCTTAAAAGTGGTCCCAGCTCTCCGACTCACAGTACGACTTACGTTGCGCGCAGCGCGGAGCTGGCGCGCTTGGCGCGAAAGGCATAGTAGCGCCTTACAAGACCGCAGGATACTTCATGCATCGCGCGTACAGCACGGTGCGCGCAACTGGCGAGTGGCGCGCAACGCCCAGTACAGCGCCTTTCAAGTCTGCAGGATACTTCATGCATTGCGCGTATAGCACGGTGCGCGCTCAAGTCGTTGAAAAGTCGTATTTTCTTGGTGTCGAATCTACCCCTGCCTATTCTACCGTGCTATGGAAGAACGCTGTATGAACATTCGAGAGTTGCCACATCCCCTTAAAACATAATTAACATAAATACACAAAACATACAATGTTCATGTAATTCTCGAAATAGCAAAAATTGCACTTATGCGCCTTGTCCTCCAAATCCCCCAATTAGTCTTTTTCTCCAAGGAGATAGCGGTGAAATTTCTATTTATTCGCAACTAATGACAACTCTGAGCTCTACCGGTACCGTGAGAGGCGTTTTTTCCGGTATAACTAGCAAGGGGCTAATTAATCAAAATTCGGGATTTGCGAAAAACATGGATCGTATCATTTTTTCCAACCGTCGGAGACCGTGTTCATCGTCTCGCTGACAGAAGAGCGTATCTCAATTTCCACGCGAGCCACGTTCTACATGTAAATCCATGTTTTTCGGGGCTCGTGTGAAGAATAAGGTACGTCCTTCCGTCAAAAGAGCGACTTGTAGTCTGGCTAAGTAGTGACAGGAATAGGGCGGGAGTGAAGTATCGTCCTCCAGGGAGCGACTAAGTTTGTCTTCAGCCAAGATGGTCAACACCGGGGTTTAACGCTTAAGTTAGGATACCCTTCCGGGGGATACTGCTTTTGCAGTGTTTGAGAGTGAGGATCTCCTTAAAACTGTTTCCTTTCTGTGCCCCGAAAGCAATTGTAAGTGTAAAAAAATTGTAAGTACTAATTTTATCTGATTTCCTTCGTTTGCAGCAGGAAAAAGTGGGTTCAAAATCGAGAGAGGACGGGTTTCATTTGGAGCACCTAGTTTCGTTAAGGAAACAACTTCGTAGCAAGAAACGAGAATTTTTCTCATGAATGGCCAAAATCTGCCGGGGCGTTTTTTTTTTTTTTTTTTTTTTTTTTTTTTTTTTTTTTTTTTTTTTTTTTTTTTTTTTTATGAAAACCAAGGTAGGAAATTGATCAAAAGTAAATCAATTCTTTCATCGCAAAGCGATTTTTCGTTGAAAAAACCTGTCATACCGTAATGGTAAAAATGTTCTCTGACTTATGCAGGCGTTTTTGTGTGACTAGAATATTACCTCAGGAAAACTCACGTTTGAAAACCACTCCAAATTTCCATTAAATTTTAATAGTGCTGTCGTTAAATGGACTACATTTTGCAATTAGGAACTATAAATTCTGACTCGGTATAAAAACAACGTATGAACCATTAGTTTCCTTATGCACACACGTGTTTTTTCGGATAAGCCAGAATTTATAGTTCCTAATAGCAAAATGAAGTCCAAATATTCCATAGAGTGTGGGCAATTCATGCGTGACTTGTGGATCCCACGACGAGTACTCACTCACGGTGTGGGCCGAATTGCAGGAGATAAATTGGACGGAATCCAAAACTTACCTGAAATCAAAAGGAAACAATCCGATTAGAGAACACATAAAGCAACAAGGCGAGTAATTAGCGATTCCAGCATTGTAGAGCACGTTACCGGGCGTAGTAAACAATTTGTAAAAGCCACGAGCGAATTCCAGCCAACGAGAGACGGCCGGTCAAAAAACCGATATAAATCCATCAAAACCTGAATTAAGGACCCCCCTCATTCTGCCGTGCTAAGGAAAAACGTCGTAGGAACATTCGAGAGTTGCCAAATTTCCTTCATTAAAATATTTATTTCCAAAAAAATCCGTGAATATATTCCCCTAAAAATCTCAGGAGCTTTGAGAGAAATTGCGAGCAAAATTATCAGAAAAATTGGAGGGAAAATATCCATAAGTTTACCGGGAAATTCGTGTATTATGAGAGGAAATTTGGCAATGCCTGGAGGTTCATACGTCGTTTTTCCTCAGCACGGCGGTTTGGTGATCTGTTAACCACCGGCGAGGCTACTGGCACGCTGCCACTCGAAACGCGTGCGCGCCTTTTCGCCTGAATTATTCAATTCCTCCCTTTTTTATTTTTCTTCTTCCCTCGGCCTATCGACGAGATCCGAGCCGAGAGCCCGCGTGTTCATGGATATTCGGCGGTCATTAAAATGCCTGCCTCGAGTGGAGCCTCCTAATTTTCAAATGAGACCATTCCGATGCGCGATGTCCACCGCGGGATGACGTCACAAATTAGACGAAAAGAACCGTGTCACAGATTTCACTCTTCCGAGCCCTGTAGAGTGGAATGAAAAAAAATTGGTCGAGGATCTTGAATGAGACGCACTTTTGACCGACGCACAAGAGGACTAGTCAGTCGAGGCGGTCGGATATGATTAAAAAACTTAAAAAACAGCTTTTTAGAGATAGTTTAAGTTAGAGTACCCACATGGGGGAGTGTAAAAAGGATATGCTTCTTCTTCCCGACCCATTCGGCCAGAACTCGGCTTTCTGCTCCCGCCACTGGAGCTGTGGCGCGAAGTTTGAATTTCAACAATTTCACAGTCTTGGCCGAAAACAAATATAACCGGCGGTGAAAAGGCATGATTAATTTAATTGTCAGGCAAAAATCGTTGTTCGAAACCTCAAACCCGTTCTAGAAAGCAATTAAAGGTGATTTAACACATTTTCGTCACTTTCCGTGACATTTCCCGGTTTTCCCTGACTTTTTTAAAATTTTCTGATATTTCCCGGTACTCTCTGACTGTGGCAACCTTAAAATTTTTCCCTCTCCGAGCCGCGAATAGCGATTGTAAGGGTAATAAAATTGTATATACTAAGTATAGTTTCCTTCGTTTGCCGCAGGAAAAATTGGGTTCAATACAGGGTTGCCACAAAATTTAGAAAATGAAATTATCCCTGACATTTTCCTGATTTCCCTGACACATTTGAGTTAAATTTCCTGACGATTAAAAACATGCCAGAGTTGCCAGATGGTTAAAAAGACATGATTTGAAAAAGTTTTCCGGCAAAATTTGTTGTTCAAAACGTCAAACCCACCCTAGAAAGCAAATAAAGGTGAATTACCGATTTTTTCTCTGAAATTCTTAGAATTTTCCCTGAATTTTCCAGTGCTCCCATTTCCCGGAACTAGTTTCGAATTTTGGAACTTTTAAGATTTTCCTGAATTCCTCCCAGAACTTTTGAAATTCCCGAAATGTTCCGGATCTTTTGCATTTTCCGGAACTTTCTCGGAACTTTAGAAAAAATCTGAAAGGAATCCCGGAACTTTTGACGGTCATGGAGTGTGAGGAATAGGAACAAAAAAGTTCCGAATTCCGGAACTTTTGACGGACATGGAATGGGAGCACTGGAATTTTCTAAAATTCCCTGCCGTTTTCCGGTTTTCCGATTATTCCCTGACTGTGGCAATCCTGTATCACTGTGCGACGGATTACGTTCTGCATATCATTGGGCTGGCAATTTAAAGGAGATGAAAACCCGACAAGATTCCGGTGCTGATCGTTATCGGCCCGGGCCCCGGGGTCGGGATTCCATCGAGAGACGTTTCTATTGCCTTGTTCTCTCCACGCGCTTTGATTCTAATCGCCCGCTCGCGCGTCCATAAACACGCAACTGCAAACGGATCACAGCTGACGTTAGGTGGTTATGGATCGGGTTGGGCTTGGCTGAAATGGGCGCGACTGGACAGAGGACACTGAAACCCGAGCCCGCCCTTTTGATTCGGGTGTCTTAATTTAAAGTATGGCCGCTGGACTAGGTCCGCCCGAGACGGAGACACTATTATATTAGGATGTATTTATACTAAAAGGAATTATGTGCATAATTTTTGCGTGAGACATAGTTCCTTTTAGCATAAATACGTCCATTTTAAACACTTAGCATTGCTGGCTTATCAACAGTCACTTTCGGAAGTCAACGCGGAGGTTCGCAAAATGGTTACCGAAATTCTGCTGTGCGATGCAAAAACGCCGTAAACGCCATTTTACATTTTATGAAAACAACGTATCATGGCAGAAAAACTTGTGTACTTGGGGCAATGTTTTTGCAAAATTCTTTCGCAAATACTATTAAGAACTTAACTTGAAAATTTGAGGTGCATGTATAAAACAGTTTTATGTTATAAAGTGTTAAGTTCCGAAGAACGAGGGAAAATCTCGATGGATTTACGGCGTTCTTGCTTAGAGCGGCAGAAATGATAATAACCTAATGGAGAATTCGCACGGAAATTTTTAGTGCTGCGTCGGAGAAAGCTTAAAGAGCTGATTTCGGGGGTTTTTTTGTTTACTTTTTTTCTGATTCTGATCAGGCAAATAGTGTAAAAATGGATTTAAAAGTGTGCAAATGCACCCCCTGGTGACGTCATCTATTGGCATTCCCTCTTTAAACACATGTACTTCAGCAGATTAGATCTTTTTGTCATGTCTCCTCCAATAATTCTCGAATTTTCAGTTAGTCAGCTTCTGGCCAAAATATCACAAGCGCCATGCGACGTTTCATAATTTCCGCTGTCATTTCATTTTATTACACAGATTTTGTTGGATGAATCAGTTTGAAAATTTCACTTAATTTTATCGGCAGCACAAAGAAAACTCGGGGAAATTTTCGTACAGCTCCGTTGAACATTTTCTCGGTTAAAAGCATAAAATGGCGGCGGAAATTTTGAAACGTCGCACGGCGCTTGTGATGCTTTGCCCGGAAGGTGACGAATTTACGAACCGAGAATGTCCTCGTGTTCAACTCATGCGGTAGTCTCGGGTTGAACACGAAATTCATCAAATTTCAGACACCTGCAAAAATGCTCCATCTGCAAAAACTCGCCTGTCAAAGTTCACCAAGAATGACAAAAGAACGAGTGCATCTTGAAAACTTAAAGGGACGATTCCTGAGGACATGATAAAAGTAGGATGGCAAACCTTACCGCTGGGCAAAAACATAATTGCCGTAAAATAACATCACGTAACGAATAACGACTAATTTCCTCTCATTTCCTCTCCCACCAACAAAGAAATAAACTTTCAGTAATAATTAGAAACCTCAACACGACGTTGCCACGTAACCTGATAACAAGGATAAAACATTGAACACCTTATTCGGAACCAAAGCTAAGCGAATGAAGCTGAAATTCCAATCAAAGCACATGCTTAATAGCGTTCGCCTCTTCTAGAGACCAAATAGTTCCATGCGACCGGAGAAAAAAGAATTTAGCAACTCCGTTCTATTATCGTCTCTATGGTGTAAATGTTACTTTCCGAAGTCTAGGCTCCGTTCGCCTGATGACGACCAAGAAGTAAAAAAATTGATTTAGTGATGATTTGCGAAAATTAGTGTGGCAAAATTTTTACCCATCAACATTCTGACAAAATTCATCAGTCATCATTAGGAAAATTTAAATTGATTTGTCGCTCAAAAAGTTCTCATTCAATCATCATTAGGCAGATAATAGCGATGAGAGTAGAATTTTAAATATGCCTCACCCGATTACATTCTTACTGCGTTAGTCCACCGAGAGACCGAGACCCGCAGTTCGCATGTGAAAAGCGAAACGCCTTCAATTTCTGGCTATGCAACATGGACATCCGTCGAGCTGGTATAGTTGCATTCACCATTCCGGCGTTGTCATTAACCCATCTACACATTATTGTAGGCCGAAATCCCCGTGGTACCTCGGAATTTTCAAAACGCCTTCATTTTCTAGCTATGCAACACGGACATCCATCGAGCTGGTATAGTTGCATTCGACGTGACTAGACATGTGCACATATTTTTGTAGATTTGTATTATAATTTATACGTACGATATTGTACACCGTAGATTAAGTCGTGTTGCCTTGGCCAATAGGCTCGGTTTTTTTGAACCTGATCCGAGGTTTGAATAGTTTTCTTCGGGATTTGGTTGAAAATTAGATACTCTATTCTGATTGGTCAAAATTCCAACGGCGCATAGTGGATCGAGTCAATAGGAGAGGTCGTACAAAATTTAGAAACTTTATACGCCTCACTGGAAAAAAAATACATTGGATCTAGAGTCCAGACTCTTGAAAACATTGACAAGAAAAAATACTCTTGATTCAATCGGATTTTTGCTTGAATCAAAACGAAATCCGCTTAAATTAGGCTTGGTTCTTGATTTAAGCTAGAATCTGATTGAATCAAGAGCACTTTTCTTGTCGATGTTTTTAAGAGTCTGAGCTCTAGATCCAATGTGTTTTTTTTTCCAGTGCTATAACTCCATTTATACAAAACTTGAGGTTTTTAAAGTGGTTTCATTGGTTTCCTCGCACAATTTTGTCCTCAATGCTCCCCTTGAAATTTAAAATGTGATGAAATAAACATGAAAATTTGCAGTTTTAGTCAAAAATTGCATGTCAAACCTCTCCAATTGATTCGATCCACTGTGCGGCGATACAACAGCCATTATCCAAAAGATTACTCGAACCCAGTCGCGAAAATTCGCCTCTTGCTAACCCACCAGAAGTTCAATCCGGCACCGAAGCTTATGACAGCGAATCAAAAGCGG